TGTCATTACAAAACCCGACAAAGGATCTGGCGTAGTAGTAATGGACAAGACAGAGTACATCCGTCTACTAAGTGATGCTTCCATCAAAGACACAACGAAGTTCACCCCTATCAACACAGAAAGACCAAAAACACGCGGCCGGCCTCCTAAACACTACCATCCCTTACTACAAAAAGAAAAACAGCTGGAGTCCGTCGTCAGAAAAATCCTGCCAAAGCCGATTGCTGACACAGTTTGTCGCAAAGGTTCCCGGCTTGCTCACCTTTATGGTCTTCCAAAGACTCACAAACAGCAACTATCAATGCGACCGATACTATCATCGACTGGGACCTACAACTTCGCCCTGGCCAAGTGGCTTGAAGAGAAGCTTAAGCCCCTTTCATTAAATCAGCACACTATCTGCGATATCTTCTCCTTCGCCGAAGTGATAAGGGAAACACCACTCAACCCGAATGACATTCTCGTGTCGTATGACGTATGTGCTTTATTTACCAACGTGCCACTCGACGAGACTATTGAGATCATCGCTGAAAAAGCCTTTAAAAACAACTGGTTTAATGAAACGCATGGTCTCAACCTCACAAAGACAGGTCTTACCGAACTTTTAAGAATAGCAACCAAAGATCAGCTATTTCAGTTCGACGGTCAACTTTATGAGCAGGTGGACGGTGTGGCCATGGGCTCGCCCCTGGGACCCCTTATGGCAAACGTTTTCCTGTGCTCCATTGAAGAACAACTGGATCGCAACAACAAGTTACCAAGTTTCTACAAAAGGTACGTCGATGACACATTAGCCACGATGCCAAATATTCAAGCCGCAACAGCTTTCCTTTCAACATTGAACGAATGCCATCCTGCCATACAGTTCACAATGGAAATTGCTGAAAACAACAAGCTTCCATTCCTCGGTATGATGATTGAGAAAAACGGTTGCCACCTGACAACAAGCGTATATCATAAACCAACTGATACAGGACTGCTCTTACATTACCAGAGCCATGTCGATCAGCGTTACAAAAGATCTCTGCTGAATACAATGCTGAACCGAGCTTACCGCCTGTCATCAACGAAAGAATCTTTTACGAAGGAATGCCAGCATCTCAAGCGGATGTTTACTAAGCTTAAGTACCCAGTGAAACTCATCAACTCAGCTATCGCCTGGTACACGAGTTCTACGATCCAAAGCCGTCACGAAACCCCAACTGAACTTGACGCGGCTACACAAAAACCTGTCAGAATAACTTTACCATTTAAAGACCAAAAATCGGCCGACACAGTAAGACATCAGCTGAAAGATCTTGGCCGGAAAATCGGAACTGACCTACAACCAGTTTTCACGAGTCGTAAGATCGAGGGAAAGCTCAAGATACAAGAAGAGAAGCCCGCTTTAATTAACCACCAATGCGTTGTTTACACTTTTAAATGTGATTCGTGCGATGCGGATTATATCGGTTATACCACACGCCATCTTCATCAACGCATAGAAGAACATAAAGCCTCTGTCATTGGCAAGCATCTGAGGGAGGCCCACGGTGTAGCGTCCGCTGGCCTGGGGAAAATGTTTTCCGTTCTCAAGAAATGCCGCGGGAAAATGGACTGCCTAATCCACGAAATGTTATTCATTCGCGAACAAAAACCAAAGTTAAACACGCAGTCTGACTCAATACGTGCAAAAGTATTTATTTAAACATATACTGCACGATCTGACACCAATAACAATGAACGCTCATTATTCTAATGAAGTTATCACATTTTATTTGTATATAATCTCTGAGCTACAATTTTACATCAGTTTTAACATTTTACTTGATAATGAGGTCATGCAGACTTCGAAACGTCGTAGTTTTTTACCGTTAATTTTTATCATCAAATGTATTTCTAAACATTCTCTGATTAGTATTCCAAGATGATAACATTTTTTAACGTTAAAGTTAAGTTGCCAACTTTTCGACCAAGAAGATAACTGGTCCGGGTCGTTCTGTAAAGACAAGCAGTCCTGCGGACTTCGAATTTCGCTGTATAAAATACAGTCATCAGCAAAAAGACGCAAATTAGCATTTATACAGTTCGTAATATCATTTATATACAGTAGAAACAACAATGGCCCCAAAATTACAGTAATATGCAAGCAAATTATCAATAAGACCATTGCCTTGGTTCACAGTAATATGTTAGCTATTTCATCATCAAAATAATTGTTGAAAATGAAAACGCACCTCGGGGTTTACCCCTCTCTCTTGAAAACCTTTTTTTAATTTTGCGTCATATTAAAGTACTAGAGAAAGAAAGTTTCACGCAATAACAAACCAAAATCTGCATTCGGCGTCAACACGTTTTCATACGTAGACATGGATATCCAGAAGTTTTGGCTGTTTATCTTTTTGTTTCTCGCTCATGCAGGAGAAACTTGCGGCTCTGAAGGTCAGTACGGCAAATGGCGATAAGTTAAAGTTTTGTACCTTTGGAATCATTGATAAGCGTGCCGTTGACATCGGATTAAAGGGGCTGAAATTAAGAAGTGACGTGTAAACAAAGCTAAAGTAAGATGTGCTCTAAGTGTACCAATGTTTAGTTGCCCTTACAATTAGTAGACCGTAGGAAGTAAGAACGAGTTACAAAATTAACACTGAGATATGGTCTCCTCCCGCTTATTTAATCTTGGGTGATGTAACTGTCATCGTTTCAAAAACATATCTTACTGTGTATATTAAAAAAAACTGATCTTGCGATCAAAAAATTGTGTTGTGCCAGAAATATACAATCAGCGGGACTTATGTCCCTCGAAATCAATTCCTAAGCAGTGATACATTTCAGACATGTAAAACTCTGCATGTGTTCGAAAGAATCATAGTGACGAAGTCCTCACGAAGGACATGAACCATTACTTAGTCCTTAACGCACATTCCTTCTGCTGTATGTCAGACCTTTAATCATGATAACAATGCAGTTGAAGTATATCAGAACTGATGCAATGCTAAAGTAAATGTGTTCATAAGTTTTCCTTGATTCAGTTCGCAGTTACCAACATTAATGCACATTCCTTCCACTTCATAGGTTCATCTGAGTCTACAAACCGCATTGTGGCCAAAGCATTCCAAGAGAACCTGGAATTACAGTGTACTCTCCGTTTAAATATGCCTGGTTTCCTTCATTTGGCCTGGTACCTCTGCCCCACCATAGCACAATGCAGGTCTAACTGGGATAGATACCGCATTGCTCAAATTATCAACAAGACAATTGCTTTGGTTGACTTTCCGGAAAAATTTGAATTAAATGTTTACGGGACCTTGAACATTCTGAAGGTGCAACCAGAATATGACGGGAAAGCGTTGCTCTGCAAGGCTATGTTCCACAGAATCGGGGTGAGAGAGAACGTAGCACTCATGGAAATATCGAAAGGTACGAGCTTAGATTGAAATTGCAATGGCACTCGTTTTGTTATCATGAGGCAGCTTGAGGCATCTACTCTTTGCTCTCTCTGAGATAGTCATGTAAAGATTTGCCTTCCCTCTCTGCTCACTATTCAACGCTATTCCTTCACCAACAGATACAATCATTATTATAATTACTTATCATTATCATCATCATTAAATTAGCATTATTGTTATCGTTATCGTTATCTTTAACGTGACCATCCTTGTCATCGTTACTGTTATCGTTATAGCTATTGCTATCCTTGTCGTGGTCGTTTTCGTTATCGTTGTCGTAACCGCAATCACGATCGCGGTCATTGTTATTATTACCATTTATTATATCTATGAGCCAAGTTTACGAAAAATATGTCTCCACAAAACACAAAAAGCTAAAAATCCTCCTTATCAAAATAAAAAAAACGAGAGGTGATGGAATCCGAGGGTTAATATTCCTATAGACTTTCAATTTCTGTTTTATTTTCCAGAGCAGCCCAAAATCATAATGAAAAGTCCACGACGTTTCCTGGTAGTCAAAGAAATGCCACTGCAATTAGACTGCAAAGTAATTGGCTTCCCTCCTCCTCGCGTTATCTGGTTGCGTGACAAGCAAGTACTTAAAAATGTAACGAACGACGGAGTCACAAGTTTGGTGCTAAGAAATGTTACCAACGATGACGGTGGAGTTTATCTTTGTAAGACTGAAAATCAACTGGGAAATGATAGTTATGCAGTGGAAGTAAATGTCATCGGTGAGTTTTAATTCTGCAGACCTGAAGTAAAGAGGACTTTGACATAGAGAGTAACAATTATTCAGTAATGTAGCGGGTTGAGTTTCCTAAACTTTACTCCTTTAACTTAGCCAGTTAATGTACTGGTTATCATAATCCGAGGAACGTTCTTAAAAGCAGCAACACGACAAATCAAACAAACATACATTCACAAACACGAAACACCAACATAAATCACAATAAAAGTATTTCCCGTCTAGTGAAAATTTTTGTACTCATGGTAGAACATGAAAAGCTCATCTCATGTACTCAGCCCTTGAGAATTCATCCTAGTAATTATTATTGAGTTATTTTTTAAATAAAAAAAATCTGTGTCGGTGTATCGAGTAGTATGTTGCTCGCACCAATAAGATCGCGGCATTCAAGTGTGTATCTCGCACCAATCAGATCGCCTCATAAGGGTACGTATCCTGCACCAATCAGATCATAGAATTGTGGTATGCTTGCACCAATCAAAGTGCCATAGTATCGTCTCTTATGCCAATCATGTCATGAAATTAGGGTACCTCATTATGTCGCGATGGAATCAGCCCAACATTGACACACACCAAGAATTACATTAACAAAGAGTTGTGAGCACATCTTCATTTTCTTCGTTAGGACATCGTGGCCATGATTTGTGTACCGCTCCTTCACTTACAACGCACGCGCCGTGAGCTTAAGGCCTAACACGAAATTATCACTAAAGCGTTTGTATTGGAAGAGATAGTTTTGGTGACTCAGGTAGAATATGCGCAAAGCATTTGCATAAAGCATGTTTGATTGATGATCTTGTTTTTACCTTGTGACTGCACTTTTTGGAAAGGTTGAAAAGACCACCAAGTTATACCCTAATGCGGCAATCTGATTGGTACGTGATACATAGCCTAATGCGGCAGTCTGATTGGTACGAGAAACATACCCTAATACGGCAATCTGATTGGTACGAGATACATACCATAATGCGGCAATTTGATTGGTGCGTGATACATATCGAAATGCCGCCATCTGATTGGTGCGTACGGCATACCACTCTTCACGCAAACATACGTATTGTTGAAAACTTATAACCGCTGGCTGGTTCATGACTCAATTTTTGATATAGTTTTGAGGGTTTAAGCAATAGAACACATTTTTCCAGGCTCTATAACATGATAAAGCTATGTGGGTTGCTGGGAGAACACGAGGAAAGCTTGTAAATCTCTCGCCCTTGGCTCGTGATTTAGAAGCTTCCCGAGTGTTCATCCAACATCCTAAATGGCTTTATCACGATTTATAGTTCACCACTAAATTTTCTCCGGTTCTTATTGGTTTAAATCGATCACGTGACGCGATAGTGTTCATCCGTGGAGAGACACTATCAGCCCATAGTGCCCGCCCGCGGAAAATACCCGGATAGATAGTACCCGTCCGCGGAAAATACCTGGATTGATAGTACTCATCCGTGAGGAGTTTTGAATAATTTGACGGCCGCGAAGTTAGGCAGATCGAAAAAACAGTGGCTTTTAAATTCTGACAGGTATAACCTATTATTTAGCCAATGTACGGTTGCGAATTATTGACATTTGTGACAAGCTGTAGGCGCGGAAGAAAATTTAGTGGTGAACAATAAAAACAATAGTGTTTATGTCTCGGAACTATCGGTCTGATAGTTGCCCCTTGGAAATTTGATGTTCTTAAAACTAGCATATTTGTTTTAAGAACATCAAATTTCCGCGGGGCAACTATCAGCCGATAGTTCCTCGACAGAAACACTCTATTGTTTAAATAGAGCCCGGAAAATGCGTTCTATTGCTTTTATGACAAAACTGACATAACTAGTGACATGCGGTCTCTATAAACTGATAAAGCATCGATCCACTCGGAAACTGAATTGACCGAACAGACCATGCGTATTATGTTCATTTATGTCATGATTGGTGAGAGGACTTTTGTGTCGCCCAATTCTGTCTGTAATCATATTCGTAATTAACAAAAATATCGGACTCCCTCTTTGCAGTGGTCCGATTTCGTCAGTCATTGTTATGATTCCAGACCGAGTGGAACTCCATTCATCAGTCCTATTTCATTACTAAATGGCTCTGATTTGACAGTTCTTATTCAATGAGTTTGTATGTATTTACATTACAGATTTTCAGAGTTCGACTTTGACAAATACAACAGGTACTAACAGAATTTTGATTTATCGGTGATCTTTTTCTCGTTGTTGTGAGCGTGTCTGTTTTTCTTAGTTTTGTTTTTACTTTTGTTTGTTTTTTTTGCATGTGTTTCTTTCGGTTTTGATTCATTTCATTTTCTTTCTCCCTGTTTCGCATTTTTTTTCCTTTTTTTTTGCTTTTTAACTTGTTTTCTTGAAGTTCGTTATAAGCTATCGAAGTTCCAAATGTTGTTTATATTTTGCCTTATCTGCTTCCTTTCAAAGCAAAGTGCTCAAAAAAATATTTAACGCAACTGAGTCGATTGTCCTAAGTCCATAATTCTACGGTTCCAAATCATTGCATAAGCAGGGAAGCTTCGAGGGAGAGAAAAACACCAATCCACTTACATACTTTTAAGCCAAGTCAAGTCTCTGCCCCGTTTCTAGCTTTCATTATCCAAGGGATGACTCGTCATTATTCATATTTGACCTCCTGTTTTACAGATAACCATGGAGGTCGAGAATGTGATATCTGCTCAGTGACTACGTACATGTTGTTCACACTCCTGATACTTGCAGGAGGATATTGATGCAGTTTGTATACGGAGCAGTATAGTAGACGCTTAAACCAAGAAAAGGTTTCCCTTGTAGTTTGATGAATTTCTCGCCCATAATATTAATGCCGTTTTTGGAAAGAAAAAGAAAACAAACAAAAAAAAGGTTGATGTAAGAAAAGGCAAAGAAAAGGGCATAGAAAAAATGAAATGATTTGTTTTGTTTGTTGTGATGGAGTAAGCTTTTTTCCTGCACATTAACAAAAGACAAAGCCAAAATATTAACTTCCTACCTGTAAATATCAACTAAATTGGTGATCCCGACCGAAAACGGCACTTTCCAAGGTAATGCGTCGAAGCTATTTAACAATCTACCAGAAACTATTAGAAACTATAAAGATTACAGAACCTTTTTAAAACTTTCAAGGGTTTTTTTATATAACAGAGTACAGAATGGTTAGCTAGTTTTACTGTAATTTCGATTCTGTTAATCCGACTTCTATCTTTAATTGCATATTGCGTAATTTGTATTTAACTTAATTTGATTTATTTTTAATTGCAATTGATGTACTTCAACTGGGAAGAGCCACCCAGTGGATCTGTTAATGAACCATTATTATTAAATATCAAAAACATGAAAAAGTTTATATGTATAATATCAGGAATTTACACTGTCTTTGTAAACATACAAAGAGACTGGACAAAGTAATCCAAGTCCGTATCATTTTTACATCTTACTGAATTATTTATTTATTTTTGTCGTCCAGTGCCACGTGTTATCATCATTTGGAATTGAAGAGGCTGTCAGTTTTCTACTTTTTACTTTTTTTCTATTCCTAATTCCGTATCAAATTTACTGATAGATAAATCAGTTGAGCTTGAAAGAGGTTATTCCTCCAAAACCGTATGATATATAATGAGGGGTCGACTTGGGAGGAAGATAACACAATTTAATCTTTACGACTATTATATATTATCAGATGGTTTCTTTTTCTCTGTGATTAAAACGAATTTTTTTCTAAGTTGTGATTTCTTGATATAACAATGGTTTT